CTCAACTCCAAATCCCGTCCTAAAGCCGGTTTGAAATGGATCGAGATCCCTTGAATATTCTCCACAGAGCCTGGTTTCTCTACCTTTTGCCATCCTGGCTGCCTTCTTCTGGACAAATTAAGTAGTTCTGTTAAAGTTCAGTCTTCAAGAGCAACTTCTTCATCCCACTGACATGAGATTCACCAGCTTCCACTGGTATTCTGATATGATTTGGCATCAGATATTGATATAGGGTTGATTCATTCTTTATTTGGCTGCAATCTCAGATTTTCATAGTATGAACACTGAAGGCACCAGATCCTGTCTGATCTTGGAAGCTAAGCATGGCCAGTCCTGATTGGTATTTAGATGGGAAACTGTCAAGGACAAGCAGGTGCTGTGGGCTAACATTTTCAGAGGAAGGGAATGGTAAACTCCCAGACTCTGGAATGGCCTGCCGGAGGAGATCCGTCATATCGCCACCCTTGCGGCTTTTAAGAAAGCATTAAAGACGGATCTTTTTCGGCAGGCCTTCCCGGAATAACCTCCGGCTCCAGGAGATAATTATATTGCCCTTCCCCCCTGCTGCTCATGTTGTATTTGTTGTTTTGTTATTTATTTTGTTGGTTTTGGAGCATGTTGTTTTAATTAATAATTAGTTTAATACTGTTTTAAGGGGTGGGAGGATTGGATGGGTATGTGATGGTTTTAACTTCTGTATCTTCTGTTTTTAATTGATGTAACCCACCCCGATTGCTCCGCAGAGGGGCGGGCTATAAATAAAAATTTATTATTATTATATTATTATAAACCACTTTTGAGTATCCCTTGCCTAAGAAAATCCCATGGAATTTATGGGATCCCTAAGTCAATGTGAAGTAGTGGTTTGAGTGTTGGACTACAACTCTGGAGGTCAGGGTTTGATTTCCCTGGTCAACCACAAAACCCACTAGAGGACCTTAGGCAAGTCACATGCTCTCAGCCTCAAGTGAAGGCAATGACAAAACTCCTCTGAACAAATCTTGCCAAGAAAACCCTATGATAGGGTCACCATAAGTTGGAAATGACCTGAAGGCATGCACCACCATCACCACCACCCTAAGTCAACAGGTATTTTGAAGGCACATACAGTCAGACCTCAGTACCACAGATTTTGTATCCATAGATTCAACTATGGATGGCTTGAAAGTATTTTTTAAAAAGATAAAAAATATTGTTTTTGGCATATATAAGATACACTATTTTATTACTCCATTATATATAATGAGATTTCACCATCCATGGATTTTGGTATTCATAATGGTTTCTGGATGAAAGTGTCAGCAGATACCAAGGGCCTACATGAATTCAAGACACAGATGCAATGAACCCTGACTCAATTAAATCTGTGTCCTGAGGACTACATGCATCTGTAAAAACGTATTGGTCTCTTGGACAATTTGCCATGTTACATTTTGGGTGAGGAAAATCTTCAATGAGACAAGGGGAGACATATTTCAGGTATGTATAGTGGGAAGGAGAAGTGACATTTTGAGAAAGGAAACACGTTAATGGGAAGCACCATATAATCTTTCAATATTTTAAAACAGACAGGTCTAATGGTAAAGAGAAGAGAGACAGTGATAGAAATAGTGTGTGACATAGCGAGAGAGATGATAGGTAGATAGAGATAGGTAGATAGATAGAGGCAGAGAGAGAGAGGAATAGATAGATAGATAGATAGATAGATAGATAGATAGATAGAT